ACGAACGATAATATGATCTAATGATAGATAGATAGATAGATGGATGGATGGATGGATAGATAGATAGATAGATAGATGGATGGATGGATAGATGGATGGATGGATGGATGGATGGATGGATAGATAGATAGATAGATAGATAGATAGATAGATAGATAGATAGATGGATGGATGGATGGATGGATGGATGGATGGATGGATGGATGGATGGATCTGAGTTTGGGTCAGTTGTTTGGTGAGAAATGTAAGAGTTGTTCCCAGGGCAAGTGATTGATTGTCCAGCTAAATATTGTCATTATAGCCTTGGCTAGCTCTGCCCCGCCCCCCTTCATTACTCACAGTCACATTAGGCCGCAGGGAGCGTCCACTGTAATTTTATGCACTTTAGCCCAATACGTCCTCTGAATATGAAGCATGCACTTGTACACTTTCCACTCCTGTTAGCTCGGCACAGACAATATTGTGCTTGACAAGTATGTTTTTGTAATTTTATGCAAAACAAGTAGTCTGCAGGTTTTTAATATGAAGAGGCAGTTGAGAGGAATCAGAATTATGTTTATAAGATGATCTGATTCATATGCTTTTAGTTTTGCTGAGTGGGACTGTTTTGTTGAATTTGAACTGTATTTGTTGTACATTTAAATAGCTTCTGACCATTATAGAGTTATTCATCTATTAGTAGTTCAGCATTGCACATTTGTGCAGTGGAGATTTGAACTCTTAATAGGATTTCTTACAAAGTTATTTTGCTTCTAGCATTGAAATGTGCAATAACTACCACAAGGTTTGGGGTCTGTAAGAATTTTTTTTATTTTTATTTTTTATAAAGTCTCATGCTCACCAAGGCTAAAATGTCATTTATTCCTGTGATTAATATTAATAATATTATGAATATTCCCTTGAATAATTCCAGACTTCAGTGTCACATGATCCTTCAGAAATCATTCTAATATGCTTATTTGGTGCTCAAGAAACATAAAAAAAATTAATAAATAAAACCGTTTTCAGAAAAACATATATTTCAGGATTCAAATCATCATCACATCATCAGGATAGATTAATACAAAGTAAAAAAACAAAAAACAAACAGCATTTATACTGTTTTTACTTTTATAACAATGTAAAAGCCTATATTGTAACTTTGGTCAATTTAATGCCTTCTTACTAAATATAAGTATTAATTTCTTACAAAAATTACTGAAACTGTAAGTACTGATGAAATGGCATTTCTTAAAGTCAGCACAAAAAACAGGCTTTTTATTTCTAAGGGTCAGAGAAATGAAATTATCATCCAAAACTGTAAAATATGTCTGTTTTTGGCACAAACACATTGTAGGTGGATTTAAAAAAAAAAAACATGATATGACCCCTTAAATGTGCTCACATGCTGGATAATAAATGCAGTCTTATTTTTGTTTGTATCTCTCTTCGTCTCTCGCCTCCCCTCTCCCTTTCTTGCTCCAAATGAAATATGGCAGTGCAGGAGCCAGACTTTTGTTAGGATCTGTTGTGCCTGAAAGCTTTATCGATGCTTTGCGTGAAGTATGAGAGTCTTCCTCTTTTATTTAGCGTGTGAATGTCTTCCAATAAAATAACTGTGTCATAACTTCTGCCCACTCTCTTGTTTTCCCTCCGTAACACTCGTTCACTTTTCTCTCCCCCTTGGGAAGGCGACGACTCCATCTCCAGCTGATTGGTTGATGTATGGTGTTATTCAGAGAGATGCAAAACCACATAACTCACCATGACGGGGCTTATAGGAGAGATAGCGAGGCATAGAGAGGGAAAGGAGATCTCTAACCAGATGATGTCCCCGGTGGGCCAATGTGTCTGTGTAACTTTTGTTGAAGCCTGGGCTCTTGGCAGACTGGCATCCCTGAGCGCACGCACTCAAACGCACATCAATATCACCCATCAGGAGTGCCCTTCACACCCTCTGTCCCCGGAGATGGGTTTTATGGTTATGCAGTGCAGACTGAAGACAGAGAGGGCTTGTGTATCAGCACCGCTCTGTGTGTGGCTTTCAAAGCGTGTCACGGCAGCGCTACTAAAGAGGCTGACAAAGACTGATCTGCGGGAAATTTCCTACACAGCCTGAATCAACCGAGTCGGAGGAGATGAAGGAAATGTGCCTTAACACGGCAGAATATGTGGGTTTAATCTGTGAATACCGTTATTTGCCGCCTCTTTGCTTTGTGTGGAGCCTTTATTGCGAAGGCGCACACATATTTCTTTCCCAGCTTCTGTGAGCGGTGATTTGTCTGTGGACTGTGGCGGTGGCAGCCAGACACTGTGCCATGTAGCTGAATGTTAAAACTGTAGTTTGGCCCCTCAGGGCCTCACCTTCAAAACTGATCAATGGACACTAGCAAATAGAGGCCTGCAGAGAGAAAGACCAAACTATTTCTGCAGTGTTTTACATAGAGGGAGTGCTGAGAGGAAATGGGAGAGGCACACAAAGTGAGCATTTGGGAAAAAAGAGTGAAAAAAGAGTTTGGGCTCAGTAAGATTTTTCTTACGCTCACCAAGGCTGCATTTATTTGATCAAAAATACAGTAAAAACAGTAATATTGTGAAATATTATTACAATTTATAATAACTGTTTTCTATTTTAATACATTCTAAAATGTCATTTACTCGTGATGGCAAAGCTGAATTTTCTTTTTTTTTCTTTTTGTAAATATTTTTCTAATATAGTATTATTTAATATATATTATTTGCAATTTTTCTTTCTCTAGACTCTAGGCTCTGGACAGCTGCTGCAACAATATACATTTTACCTGTCATCTGTGCTTTTAATGGGATCGCTTAATATTTAAAAAGCAGCCTGTGTTTACACTTAAAATCCACCTCAAAAAAAGCTGTGTGTTATTTTTGTAGTAAGTTTTGTTGAAGGTAGTTAGATAACATCATTTGCTCACATTTAATATGCCTTTGCTTTTACTTTATTCACTTCAGATTTTCCGACACAGTGCACTTTAAAGTTAATATTATTAATAATGTTAAAAATATGATTTCTATAAATGTGCCTGTTTAGTTACTATTAGTCATTAAGCAACTGTATGCACACCCAAAACTGTTGGTTTCCTACATAGTAAAGCATGTGATTTTAATATACAGACACCATTTTCTAAAGAACAATAAAGAATAAGTAATGACCACTTAAAATGTTGTATTAACACAAAATCCGGGCTTAGAGTGCAGTGTCCCACTTGTGTTGTTTTACACAGATCTCCAGCAGGCTGCTAGGCACATCCCTTACCAGCGGTTATAGTTAATTTGATTATCTATCACCTCCCTTCTCCTTCAAAAACCCATAAAACCAGAATATATTTTATTTGTTTTTTTTTATTTTTAGTAAACTTTCTAAAGCAGAGCAGAGAGCCCTCTCTTAGCAGATAGCCCAAAATGTCCCTTAAAAAATTACTATGGAAGTACCATGGTACAGTGTTATCAGGCACCGTGGTACAATGATACTGAATGATTATTACCATATTGTAATATAATATTTAAAGGGATAGTTCACACAAACACACACAAATAATTTACTCACCCATGTCGTTCCAAATTTGTATGACTTTCCTGCTTCTGCAGAACACAACATAAGTTATTTTGAATTCCGCTGACTTTGATTTGTATGGTCAAAAAATATAATGGAAGTCAATGGGAATCTAAACTGTTTTTCTTCAAAATATCTTCCTTTGTAAATTGTGTTCCACAGAAGAAGAAAAAATCACACAGGTTTGAAACGATGTGAGGGTGAGTAAACAATGACAGAATTTATTTTGGAGTGGACTATCACTTTAAGGTACTTATTTGTCAGTTGGATACAGTTTTATGCAATACATTTGAACAATTGCTCTGTTTTGCATCTCTTTCTAGAATGAGTTTAGATTATGTTATAGCAGTTCACTGAACTCTTTTGTGTAGTTTGTTTTGTTGGTGCTGTAAACTCTAAGAAAAGGAGATAAAAGACAGAAGCCCTGAATGTTTTGTTCCTGTTATTACACCACAGTCCATTGTCCAGTACAGACAGAAACAACTTCTTATCTTCCTAATGTGCTTTGTAAACATGGATGCTTGTATTTGAGTTTGTTTGAGATAAGCTGTAAAATTAAAGATGTATCGACTGGTTTGTGCTTGTTTGTGTGTGTGTGTGTGTGTGTGTGTGTGTGTGTGTGTGTCTTTCTTAATTCAGGCATCCTGATATAACCTTCACTGTTGTAGCACCAGCATGTATTCTTGATGCATTGAGATTTCCTTTTCTAGCATATGCACAACATGTCTAATGAAATGTTATCTCTCTTTTTCTCAGACCCTCAGCTGAAAGGTATCGTCACACGTCTGTATTGTCGGCATGGCTTCTACCTGCAAATGTTACCCGATGGCACCTTGGACGGCACAAAGGACGAAAACAGCTCCTTCTGTAAGTGCGTGCTCAGAGATATGTGGGTGTGTGCGTCTGTGCGTGCGCTCAAATCTTTTTCGAACACGTTTTAAGAGCTTTAAAAAATCCTGTTAACCTTACCTGAACTCACTATCACATTACAACCCACAGATTATAATGGGAAACAAACATCAAAGTGTGTGTCTGTTCCTGTGGTGTATAATGCCTTGCCCTCCTCACAGCAGTATATAAACCATTCGCATCAGCCAGATATGTGCAATGTCCTTTTCACAGCATGTTCAGGAGATTTTTTTGTTCAGAGGTTGCTCTATCATAGCCCAGGAGACCTAATGGACACCAGGCTTGGGCAATCATTCTATCTATCTATCTATCTATCTATCGTTCTATTGTTCTATCTATCGTTCTATCTATCATTATATCATTATATCTATCTATCTATCTATCTATCTATCTGTCTGTCTGTCTGTCTGTCTGTCTGTCTGTCTGTCTGTCTGTCTGTCTGTCTGTCTGTCTGTCTGTCTGTCTGTCTGTCTGTCTGTCTGTCTGTCTGTCTGTCTGTCTGTCTGTCTGTCTGTCTGTCTGTCTGTCTGTCTGTCTGTCTGTCTGTCTGTCTGTCTGTCTGTCTGTCTGTCTGTCTGTCTGTCTGTCTGTCTGTCTGTCTGTCTGTCTGTCTGTCTGTCTGTCTGTCTGTCTGTCTGTCTGTCTGTCTGTCTGTCTGTCTGTCTGTCTGTCTGTCTGTCTGTCTGTCTGTCTGTCTGTCTGTCTGTCTGTCTCTCTATCCATCTATCCATCTATCCATCCATCCATCCATCCATCCATCCATATGGCTTTTTTTCAAAACTTTCAAAGGCATTTTTAAGCAAATATTTAACACTGTCTTGACAAAAATGTTTCTTAGAATTTCAGTTATTTCAATTCTACCTTACCTTGAAATTTGAATTGAAGGTCTGAATTCAAAATCATTTCAAATTCAGGAACATCACTGATATTTGATTGCAGTTTTGGCATCTTGGAAAATCTGAGCACAGTTAAAGATATTTTTGAGATCTCTTCTGAAACTCCCGAAGAAGCACATGTGAGATGACTCTGCTCTTTTTCTCATAAGAAAACGTGTGAAGTGAGAGGCATCAGCAAAAGGTCTCAGTTTGCTCTTTGTTTAATTTCATTGCTGCAGAAGAGAATAATATATTAATGATATCTCATCTGCTGCTTTTCATTTCCTAATGTACCTAATGTTCCGGTCCTAATGTACAGTATGGGCTCTCCTAAAATATGCAGCACTCTTCTCATAAATTGCATGTTCCCCTCGTGAGACGCATTTCTGAGCACAGCCAAACAGATGCCCTGTAATGTCTTTTTAATATGGGAACGTAATAAACAAAACAAAACAGTCAAATCCCACAAGGTTTTTCCACTTTTTACTGCAGACGTCTTGAAATCCTTCCAGAGGCAAAACTGTTATGTCAGTCGATGAAAGGATTTTCGTAAGTGTTTCCATCCATAAATCTTGCATAAAAGTCATTTAACAGTGCCTTGTCGGTTAATTCGGTGCAGGTGAGGTGTGTGTCAGATATTGTGCAAGTGTGTGTTCGCTGTAGTGGGTTTGACAGAAGGGGACCATCTGAGAACAGCTGTGTGGTTTGTGTTGGAGACAGTGCGAAAGTTAAATAACTTTTTTATAGAGCTACTTAAAAGGTGAAAGAAAAAGAAATCAAGCGGCAGAGCTGTATGATTGCTGTCTAGACTTTATGGTTGTTATATACGGATTGTGCACTGAGGTGAGAGAAAGGTGAAATTGCTATGTTAACTGACGTACAGTTTGCTTTGCTTCCTGAAATTAGGACTGAACCCGTTCTGGAGAAAGGCTGTGTGTGGGTCAGGATTTGTCTACATTAAGACATAGCCATCGCTAGACCTTATTTAGAGAGGCTACATCCCTGCATTTTAAACTCATACCTAAAGGTTCACAAATGAAATTTCGGTCAACATTTACTCATCCTCACATCGTTACCTGTATAACTTTCTTCTATGGAACATAAAAGAAGGTGTGTTTTGACGAATGATTCAGCATTTTTTGGTCCATTGAGTAGAAGTCAGTGGGTGCAAATTACCATTTGACCTTACCGGTTATCATTGGATGGAAAAAAAAAAGAAACATTCTTTACTGTTTTTACAATTGCTAGGACACATTTCTCAAAACTTAGGTCACTTTTTTTACGTTTGTGTTATGGAGGAATGACTTGATTTGAGACATGTAGAAGTGTTTTAGTAGACTTTTGGATGTGAAATTTCCAACCAAGAAGAGGTTTGAAAAAGTGACTTAAATATTGAGAAATGTGGCTTAGTGATTGTTTAAAAAATATATTATTTTAAGGTTTTATATTCCATTTAGCATTTGACCCCATTGATTTTCATTGTATTAAAAAAACACACCAAAACATTCTTCAGAATATCTTCTTTCATTTTCCACAGAAGAAAGAAGGTCATAAAGGTTTAGAACAACATGAGTATGAGTAAACAATGACACAATTTCTTCAAAGCATATCAGTACCATCTTGGTTATCGGTTGTTATTAAAGTTTTTTTTTTTTTTATTGTATCAGCCAATATTGAACACGCATGAATAAAGGTTCCAACAGTGGATTTTAGCAGCAGTGCCATAGAAGAACAATTTTGGGTTCTCCAAAGAACCTTTCAGTGAACAGTTCTTAAAATAACAATTTTTTCTTAGTGTGAAGAACATTTTAATAATCTAAAGAACATTTTGTGCACTTGAAAGGTTCCATGTTAAAGCTACTTATTTTTAAAAGTTAACATTTAATTGTGCATGCTCATTCCTCTATTTTGCAGTGGGTGTTCACATTTGCTGTGTAACAGGATCAAGAAAGAGTAGAGAATTGACAGTCCTCTGCTACACACATCCATCTCTCTCTCTCTCTCTTTCTCTCTCTGTCAGTCTCTTTGACTGAGGTCAGATGTTAGAGGTGTGCCCTCTCATTAGCAGTGAGGGGGTCTTGGTGAGGCTACTCTTTATGCACCACACTGCGGCGTATGCTAATTAGTCCCAAAAACTGCCAAATCAGCATGGAGAGAGAATAAATAATTAACATGCTCTGATTCATATCTGTAGCCCCTCTGTTATAATGATATACAACTCCATCATTAAACAGACAAACAACTTGATCCATCCTGATAGACTCCTTTGGAAACTTCCATGGTTGGTTAGCATGTAAAGCAACAGTTTACTAAGTGACGAGACAGTCCAGCTCAAGATCACAATGGAGAAAATCTCTAGTTTGTGTCTCACACATTCCCATCATACACCTCTCTGATCTTTACACTGGCCTCAGAACCAGGCCTGACCTGACTGAAAGCCTTCGTAAAAACTTATTTTGCATGCATGAGCTCCAGCAAACATGCTCAGTAATTGTAAACAAGGTTAGTAATCTCTGTGATCCTTTCTCTCTTCAGAATGGGGGTTCATGTTCATGTTCTCCAATTCACCTGCTTTAAGATACAGAACAACATTGTTCTTTAATTTTTTCAAGCAAACTTTGTAGTTCTACACAGATTAGCACAAGGTCCCCAGATGGCACAGTGCTTGTCCCGGCAGTTCCTAGCAAAGCCAAAAGAACAGCTGCTATGGCAGTGATAGGTGTTCCATCACAGAGCTTGTGCCCCCTTGGAGGGAAGGGTATGCAGCCTGACGGACTGGCACTCCTGCTTTCATTTTCATCTTCACTTGAACCACAAGTTGATTATGTAATGTCTTAATGAGCAAAATGGGAGAGGAATGATGAGACGCTTGCTGTGTGTGTGTGTGTGTGTGTGTGTGTGTGCTCTCCTCACCTTCAGCCAATGAACATCTTGAGCTGATCATGCATTTCACCCTTGCTCAAGTACTTACACTTGAAAAGATACAAGAGAGAGAGAGAGAGAGAGAGAGAGAGAGAGAGTCAGGTGGAGTTGGTTTCTTTGCAACTAAATTTGATTCCTTATTACAGCATTTTTCTACTTTTTGCCTCACCTTCTACTGGCCTCAGAGGCCACATAGACACTGCAACGTTTTGGGAGGAATAACAGCATGTAAATATAGGAGTGATTCCTCTTCATTATTGTTCTTTGTGTGGGTGGAATGCTATGAAAAACTGTATATCTACATATGCAACTTTATTTCTTGCAATAGTAACATTGCAACAGCTATTTTTTTCATCTTAAAATGTTTATTTATATCTCGCAATGTGACTTATCTTCTACTTGATTTCTCATAGTTGCAACTTTATTTCTAGTAATTGTGACTTTATATCTCAGCACTGTGACTTTTATTTCTAATTTCAAACTTTTTCTCACAAATACTTTTTTGTTTACTCTGAGGTGGAAACTGATCCCTGAGCCAGTTTGGAAACAAGAAATATATGAATGGCATCTAAATATCAATTTTGATGAAGGTAGTGTGTGAATGGTGCTATTTATATTGTCACGCACTGTGTCGGAGTGAACGACGGAGACATAGATTAGAATAAACAGTCTTTAATGAATCCACACAAGGGGCAATCCAAACCAGGAATGGGAGAAGACACACGTGCATCACACTGTTAGACCCAACAAAGACAGAACGCACAGACTGGAAATTAAATACATGGGGTAATGAGGACAATTGACAAGACACACCTGAATCACATGAAACCAATCAATCAAGGAAGAAACTGGGTCACGGAGCACATGGGGAGGGAAAACACACCAAAACAGGTCCATAATCCTGACATATCGCCCCCTCCCGGAAGGCGCGTCCTCGCGCCGTAGATACAACAGAGGGAAGGACAGTGGAAACTTGGGAGGAGGCTCGGGAGGAGGATGGGCACCCGGGAGGGGGCCAGCAGACAGAGTTCTAGGTGGAGACGATGGAGGGAGGAGACAGGAGGGGCTTGGAGCAGGAGGATGCCAAGCAGGACCCAGGCCACAGCCATAACGGCGACCCACGGTGGAGCCGACGGAGAGAGGAGCCATGGTGGAGGAAGG